CAGAATAGCGCGACTATAATCCCCTCAAGTGTGATAGCGGCACGCACGCGAAAAAGGGATTGACGAGCGATGGTCGCAAAGTATCGAGAGGGAACATTGATCGATCACTTCTTACAAGCTTTACCGCGACGGTGGTTACCGAGACGATGGTGTCGGCAGCAGCCGTAACCTTGCTAAATTATTGAACGACCATGCTAGACGCCGTCCATGCCGCAGTCATGGGCAATTCCGCGGGATATACATTTCCGGCTCACATAAAATCGACATGCCAGAAATCATCGTATCGACGGATGGAGAGACGTCGATGGCAGATTTGAAGCATAGGTATATACGTATAAAATATATACGTGGTAAAAGGAAGCGTGAAAGAAAAGTATAGAACAAGAGAAAAAAAGAACAGCAATATTCTCATTCTTTTCTAATTCCCCCAAAATTCTTGTTCTTTCAGAATAGATTCAATACGGCGAAAAATATGCTTACATTTTTGTCAGACATTAATAATTTAGATATATAGTTACTTTTGTCTGTTCAAAAATTAAAGATAGAAATCACATCAGAGTGAAATTCTTCCCACTTCTAAAGATAACGACACAAACGATCGAGTATAAAATCGTTGAGAATTAAGGCGCGTCAGAGAGAAATTCATTGAATTGCTCAGCGATTGATCGAGGAGTCTGCATTTAAATAAATTGACATTTTCCGATTCACGTGTGCATAGACGAGACAAGATAGTACCCTACTTCCGTATAATAGCGGCAGAGACTGAACGTGAAAGAGAAAGAGGGGAGAGAATCAATTTAAAAGCCGTGACTCACTGGGACACGATGATATAGTTAGCGTGCGGCCTCTCCGCCTCTCTGTCGTCTCTTTAAAAATGATAAAAAGAAGGTGACAAAGGAAGGGAGTAATCCGATAATATCTCTCTTTAGATAATATCTCTCTTTAGCAACGCTCGGGAGCAATGAATATGCGGTGATAAAAGGAAGAAGAAAATGGTAGGAGAGAGAGAGAGAGAGAGAGAGAGAGAGAGATATTCCCTCTTGGACAGTCGATAAGCCTCGAGTATTATTCCTGGTATTCAAGTACGGTACTCGTGACGTACGACGATGAAAGGGTTACACGAAGAAGGGCATGGAGAGAGCAAAGGGCGCGTGCACACATCGTGCACAGCAACTCCCTTTCCTCATTGTTTGTATGAAATTCGCGAGAGAGATGCTTCACGCACTAATGATCCTGGTAATGATTCTGGAACCAAAAGCAAGAAGGAGAGGAAAAAAAAGATACACAGAGGGAGATGCAAAGAGACTGGATTGCGGGTGATAGAGAATCGAGGGCGGCGCGGAGGTGAGGCCGCAAGGGAGAGAAATCGCGAGGGAAACGAGAGACAGCGGTATCCCTCCGTGGTGACTTCTCCCCGTCGCCCGCACCTAGCACGAAGAGTGGAGTTCCCTCGCCCCAATTACCGTGCCTGGCGTGCAACGCCTACCATCCACGATCATAATTTGCATCCGACCTCTATTTCCTCGCGGCAAAACGCGATGCTGCGTGCACTCTTGATTATCCTTGAACAACGACGTTCGGGAAGCGCGAGCGGTTTGACAAGTTTCAAATGATGAATTCTCTCTCGTTCGAGAGGTGCTAACGATCGAGCTATTACCCTATAAGCGCACAATAATCCTAGAATGTTATATTAAAAGGGGGCAAATAGTATTCATATAACATTCTAGGAATATTATGCGCTTATATAGGATATACGCTCCAAGATAGAGACAAAGATGAACCCAGGCAATAAGCCTAGGCAATAAGCAACGAACCACAATTTCTACATTTCGTGTACATTTCGTGTACATTAAGTACTTGACATGATTCGTCCTCGCAATAAACTTTGCGTATATTGATGTATATGCAGGGTGGAAAAAAACGAAAGAAGTGTGGCGCGATGTGGCTTACTTACGAAAGACGAAAAGGAGGCTAACGACGAGCTGACATCGACTCCAGGAAGACGAGTGACGACCAACGAGCATCCTTTCATTCGTCTCTTCCTCTCCTGCTTCCTATGTAATACACCTAGGACTTCTGGTAATGTCCCGCAGGACCCGGGCGATCTTTTCGTTGTCGCCGTCGCTCAGGCAACACCCACTTTCTCCCCTGGCCTCGTAACCTCGGATGTTACCACTTTCCTTCCGTCTCGCCGCCGCTCGCAGGGGCGCAGCGTTATCCTTCGTCGTCCTCGTCGTCGCCGTCAATCACTACCACAACCACTTCCACCATGAACCACCGTCGCCACCGCTGTCGCCGTCGTGATAGCCTGTCACAACCACAACAAGCAACTGACGGCAGTAGTAGTGGACGCTTGATGTACTGTCAAACAGTTTCGCACCCCTTCAGCGTGTCACGTGAGCTTTCCGTAATTTCTCTCTCTTTCTCTCTTTCTTTCTCTTCCTCTCCCTCAATCTCGCTTCCGCCCTAGTATCCCCCTCTCCCACCTTTCGTCGGGTGCGAGCTATCGACTCACCCCCGTTGGTAATTAATCGCAGCTCGTCGCGCCGGGTCTCGCATCATGTCACGATCGTCGGACAGGATCATCTTGCTCTCGCGCGTCCTCACATCGCGACGTCGTTTGCGTGCCGTCGCGCGCAAAAAATAGAGCTGTACGACGGAACGTTGCAGAAGG